GCAGGTATAATAAAATTGACGCTAATTATCACCAGGATCGCTTATTATACTCTTCCACTGTGCACTTCAATACGAAGGCTATTCACAGAGTAACACAGCGTTAAGTTTATTTTGTTACAGAATAACTTTTGCATATGAATTTGTATCATACTAAGAGAGCACAGTACATTACAAAACTAAATTTTAATTAAAAACATTTCTGGTAGTTGAAAATAGCTTCTTGTTTCGGTGTAACAACAGAAGATATAGAATTATTAAACTTACCGGGTGTATAATGGAATGTCATATTTCCAACAACTCCCTTTTTTATTTTACATGGTTTCGCTTCTGCAGCTTCCTTGCAGGGATCTACGTACACTTCATGAATGGTACAATTCGTTAGGGTTTGGGCTGAAAGAATATAGAACCTTTTGTTAAATGATGTTTCGTTACTAGGTCATCTTGAATGTTAAGCCGCGTATTTTAAGAAATTGTACAGCTCTATTGATATTTAATTCTTTCTATTTTGTAGTACTTTAAAATTGTCCTTGTAACTAGTACGCAGTGTATATAATTCTAAATGAAGTATTCTTCATGCATATACATATACAGAGTGTCTGTTAAGACGAGTTCAACGAGTACAATAATGGAGGACACGTGGAGGGGATACCCATAGAAGGAAGTTTTCAATAATTCAAAATTGAACATATTGGTAGGTACTTATTGTACTCGTTGAACTCGTCTTAACATACACTATCATATTATGTATAAAAAAATATAGCATTCCATTTAAAAAAATTAAACTGACTTTGAAATCTCCCCATCATACCAGGTACAAAAACAATATTTACACCACATAACGTCCCCCTCGTACCAAACAACTTTTGTTAAAACATTTTTTTCCTAACATCACTTCCTTAAAAGATATTTCGCTGTATTGAGATAAAACACACACCCTGTATATGTATATAATTAATTGGAGCGGTATTATCGCGAAAGTTGTATCAACTAAAGTATAATTTTAGAAGTACTTGTTCGATATTATTCAACAGAGCTTAAAAACATGATTGATACATTCATTAAATAATTTTTCCGAACGATAAAACACATATAAAACAATAGTCAATTGTCGTGAAAAACATTACGTGTATATTTTTTATTCGACATTGTTTATTATCTACGTGTGCCTAAATTGTTGCATTTTAACATTTTGTAAATACAAATATGTACACTATCGCTCGAAAGTTTGGAGCATGTTAAGATTCTAAAACGAATAAAGTTTCTCTTAAGTAAATAAATGTCTTATTGAAAATATTATTCTGCTATAGCAACGAAACTGTACTTAATTATAATTAAAAGTGAAATTTATAATTATTTTGCACTTATTTTTTAAAAAACTAATACAAATTTAGAGAAGTGTTTTTTCGCAAAAAATCTTTTTTTTTCTATATGACCGCTTCACATAATTTCGTCATTGCGGCAATTGACTTTTCAATTGTTTCCAGTTTAATATTGATATTAGGTATTTTTTTATATTCTTATCCAAATTAATCCCACAAGATAATTTCAATTTCAATCTTGCATCATACTTGTATAATGCACAAGTACAATATTTCTAATAAAACTACAGCATATGTTTGTATGAAAAAGCTTTTGCTCAAATAACGAATAGTGCTCCAAACTTTTGAGCGGCAATGTACATATGTACGTATTCACGTTGGGCACATGTAATGTATTCATGTAAAAAGTGCGTGCACATGTAAATTTGACATTATTAAAACTTCTCTTATAACACAGCATACATATAATTGTCCGCTATCTGAGATTAACTTATTTCTTGCAAAACATGCCATGCAAGAGAAATATGTTAAGTAGTACAATTTTCACCTGTTTCATTGTTTTTATATATTTCTCAAATAATATTAACCAAATTATTTGTAACGGTGAAATCGAATATTAATCAAGTACAACATTATTCACGTCGACAGAAACTTTTTATTAAAATGAAAAAGAGATTATACGGTATACTTTCATTTCTTAAAACATTAAATTTTAATTGCACATGTATTGATTAATAGACATAGTAGTTTGGCATATCCAATAATCCGGCACGCGTAGCCCTGACTACGAATGTCATTCGTCTACAGCACTAATCAGTTAAGGGTGCTTTTAACCCTTTGCAGACGGAGGACTACGCGTCTGATAACACATAATGAAATTACTACTTCAGTTTTTTGTGAACTAAATCATGTCAAAATGACATTTTCCTCAAATATACATACACGAGTTCATGGTCACGCTATTTTCATTGCTCAAAGATATGTAAGATCACTGATTGCGTTCATAGTTAAAACTGACTACTGACATACTGAAACTGATTACTGTTACGATTCCTCCGATTTACGTCGTGTTTGGATTCATTTTCATCGGAACAACGTTACTGTGTTATCTACGACTGCTTTTAAAATTATTTTTCTTAGTTTTTGCTGCATTGCACAGATATAGTTCAATAATCCCAAGTGTGCCGGATTATCGGAATTCTACTCTAGTTGTATGAAAAAACGTCAACGTTCAATATGACATATTTTGCCCCGGATCAGTGCAATATTCATATCCCCGCCACATTTCCACCTCGCTTCGCCGGAGCGAGTCGTGTCGCTGACTTTATCTCGCTTCCTCTCAGAGTATCCCTACTCAAGCGACGCTCGTAACATTGTGCTCGAGAACGTGATGACAACTTCCTTACCCCGGTTTAGTGCAACTTCTCGGTTCCCGGGCGCCATTACACTGATCCGGGGAACACTATACTGTTACTGACTGCGTTCATAAATAAGTTTTACTGATTATCACATTTCCTCTTGATACACACGCGATGACGTTATTTGCGTTATAAACATGTCCACCCAAGAAACTTAATACAAAATCCATAATGCTGTTGTTTACGAATTAAAACGATGAAATTTAAGTCTCATCAGTGACAAACAAGTAGAACTTTGCGGTGTATACACCATTTTTACAATATTCTGGTAAAAACAGAAACAATGCACCACGAAACAATGCATGGTTTTATAATACATACTTGAAAAGTTGGATCGTATAATATTTTACTTGTCACGTGGATACGAGATCTTTTTTCAATTCAACCCAGGGTATTATTGGTGGTCTATGAATTAAGTTTGATAAGAAAATAGCAAATAACATGCTAAAAATCTCTTAATGAGATGTATGAAAATTTAATTTTAATATAAATCGATATTAAATACAAATTTATAGATTATCATTTATAATTTGACTTCACTGGTAACAATTTTGCTTTATAAAAGAAATACATATAGTGCTTTTTCAATTACTATACTATTCTTTACACCAGTAAGTCTTCAGTAGAAATTGTAAAAGGCATTAAAATCATATAGTATTTAATCAAAGTGGTATCGTTGTTAAAATATTAGCATAAACACTATTAGTCTAAAAATGAGAAATTACAAATAACGTAAATTCGTATTTGTGGTGAAGTAATAATTAGTACTAAGATATAAAATAAAAGTTTATAATTAAAAATCATTTGCTCTACGGTTTGCATAATAATGTAAAATGCTTACAAGTTTCAAATAAATTCTTTTGAATAAATGTTAATTCCAGTACTTTGATACTGTTCATCTAAAAAAAAAAGAAACGAAGAACAAATTATCTACATTACTGCAAAAACTTATCAAAACACGTGTTATTCGTTATCTCCCTCCTACCTATTTAGCAACGTACATTAAAGTCAATGCATTCTTTCATTTCTCGTAAAATTAACACATTTCTTTTTTATATTATATTCTTTACATTTTTTGCGAAATTTGTACCATAACATAGTCATAATTTATTTAATTGGTGCACATATGATATATAATTTATTATTTTTTATTTGTGAAGCTTGAGTTACCCAAAACAGAGAAACAACTTCACTTAGAATTTAATAAATTCAATAAAACCTTTCTTTCTTTCAATAAAGTAAGAAAATACTGAAAGCCATGTAAAAATTAACAATAGACAAATTATTTAAAAAGTTTTTAAAACAACGAAAATTGTGAAACTATTACTATAAGAAGTAATCTAATGATTTCATATTTGCAAGAAAGAAACATGATTTTTAACGAGACTTTTAAACAGTATATATAACCGAAGGTTTGTCAAATTTTGTTTATTAGATGAACATTTTCAGATCTATAATATTATACGTTAAAGTTGATTGAACATCCAGTAACTTTCAGCTGTTACAACTGTCTCATTCTTATCCCATTGTTAATTTAACTCGATAGCAATTAAATTCCACCATTCAGAAAATCAAATCTACATATCTCGAGTTATATCCTCTTTTAAACACTTGCTCCTCATAATCAATCAAGCACATGCTCTCGGACGTTTTATACAAGCAAACACAATTGCATTTTCCACTTAAACTATGAACTATTCCACGTGCTATCGTCGTGTCTTCAACCTCTATTACATTAGGTGTAGAGATGAATTATTTCCGACTTTTGGGTACAATCACCGTTTCATTTAAATAGAACGAAAATAGATCAATGATCGAAATAATTTCCATGATTGTTAACGGCATTTTGCCATTTATCTGACAGCTTGCGAATTCCATTATCCCGAATTACGCGAATCCAGTCGGAAAGAATTCACTTCTACACCTAATAGAATCCTCAATAGTAACAAAAGTAGCAGGTGATTTCATACCAAGATCATGTATAGTTAAGAATGAATCAGTAGCATACCGCGTGCGCGAGACAAAGTTAAATGTTCATTCAACGATCCATCTCCATGCCCTATTCTATAATAATAGGTGAAATAATGAAATGATCGATACTCACGATCAGGGTAAGGGCACTGCCGCCATGGCACAAGCTCCGCACAGACCATGGACAAGGCCACGAACAGAAAGGCAAAGAGGAACACGCTGTTTCGGTTCATTCTCGATGGGCGGTCGTTGCGAAGTGACGGAAGGACGACTTCAGTCTGTGAACAGAAGGCGAACAACGACGGAGAGGTTCTAGAGTGGGGCCATAGGTCAATTGAAATTGTATCTTAGCCGCGAGGTAGCTCTCTATACGCGTTCGCTTCGTCTCCTTTAGGCACCAACTCCCTACTATCACGCTACTCTATTGTTGCATTGATATACCAGCTATCGCGATTCCGTAATCACCGAATCCACATGCGTGACCAGCCGATTGCAGATTTTTCAACCAGTTATTGTAGCAGTAGTCCACGTTCTGTCGAACAAGAGCGTATCCGCGATATCGACGAAAGACAAGATAATTTGAAAATATACGTTTCTTGTAAATATAATAAATCATAAGGAGTATTGTTAACACTTTAAGCGCCGGACTCGCTTTAATATGTGGACTAGTGATTAAGCACTGGGCCCGCCTAAATGCGTTTTCACATGTTTGTGCGGAAAAAAATATTTTAATACGAAATTAATTAATTATAAGCAACGATATATCGTTGTAGCAACACTTGCGAAAAGTGCCAACGATGATATATCGTTGCGTATGCGATGGCGCCTTACTATTCGCATTGCGACAGAACTCTGTCTCAAATGGTTGAATAAATAAATAAATAAATAAACAAGAAAAAAGAATTGGAAAAACTACTTTTTTCCAAAATTTGAGAGTTCCTCTCTCGTCTAATAAATTTATGGGAGGTGTCGACGTAGTGGATATGGTGCTTTATACTTATTTGGACGAGAGAAGAACTCTCAAATTTTGGAAAAAAGTAGTTTTCTCAATTTTTTCAAGGATGACAGGTACCGAATGCATACATCTTGTTTCGAATGAATACTGAAGGCAAAATTATAACTCGATTAGTAACCATCAATGCTGAATAAATTATTTATGTGAGTAGTGATAAGTAAATATTGCACATTTTCAATAGCCGGATAACTATAAATGTTTATGATAATATTTGAATTGTATTTCAGCGATGTTATACTAGCTACACGAATCACTTGTTTTGTAGCAGGTATGTAATCCTTCTGACTCCTGTTTTGTGTTTTGATATTAGAAATTTTGTTACAAATAATCGAAAATACAGTATTTATGCTTTATGCTACGTGTTCTGCCTCAAACTATGACCAAACGATAATTCTTCTTATTTGCAAGTACTGTTTATAAAAGAAAACTGATTTTTCAATTTTTCCTGATGATTTTAAATAAGTATTATTAGTATGATTTTCAACAAATATTGAAATACAATTGGCATTAATTTATTCTCCCTTTATTTCGTAATATGTCCCTTTTTCAATTTTGTAAATATCATTCTTACTTTTTTCTTTATTTTTTTTTTAAATTACATCAAATTGGTTCGGTATTCTTCGCTTAGGTACAATTCTTTCGGTCGGCACTATAAGGGTTAATATCTGCATCACTAAAAATCGTCGCTGTGCCTGTAATAAGCACCATGTAAAACTTTTCAATAGAAATTTTCTGTTTCACAAGAGTTATTTTATTTTGTTTTATAAAAGTGCATGTTTCTACAAAACTTGTAAATATTGCGGCGCTTTAAGTAGAGTTTCCAACAAAATAGCCGGCGCTTTAAGTGCTAACTCTCGGACAGCGAAGGCGTGATGATCGCACGCATGGGTCAAATATGACCCAATACCAAAATCTTTTCCGTATACAACCGAAACCACATTTTGTAATGTTACTTGGCTTTGTATTGTTTAAGATTAGACAAATATATTATGAATAAAATAAACATATTTATAATATAAGGAGAGTCGTGACTCTGTTTCGAATTATGGTTGAAACAGTCAGCGCTTAGTTAATGATTTACGTAATTGAGAAGTGTGAATCTTTTCGTGGCGAATGCAGTATATTGTAGCTGGTTTGAAGCTGTCATTTTGCATTCATAATTGCAAGGACCAAAAGTGACCTTCGTAAATGCAACCGAGTACTTATACAAGGTCAAAGACTTTGTTAAAATGTACAGTCCGCGACAAAAATAGAGCACACCTTATTAATTTGTTAATTTTTATTTGGTAAATTATATTAAATACAATTTTTACATCAATTTCTACCGCGTGTATATGAGAATGTTACCATTGGATTTGTTTTATCTGTAAAAGTTTTATCATGAAAAACTGCTGCGACAAATTAACAGCACACTTTTTTAAACGATTCAAATCTATGCATATTTACCAAGAGAAATCGATATTTAATACTTCATATATCCCCCATAATTTCATAGGATCAAAATGATTCGCTTTGGTATCGATTTAAACAGCTTTTTAACTCGTTTTTGACTTAATCTTTCCCATTCCAGTGCAATGTAGTTTCCTTTGACGTAAACTGCCCTGTTTATATCACTGCTGACCATCTGAAAAGTGCTTTTACTATCTTGGCCAGTAGGATGTTTCCCAACGTTTCGCCAGCATTGCAGCTAGCTTCATCAGAGTCTGAGGACGCATTGATAATAATGCGCGTCAAGGTGTTCACTTTTTTTAAAATACCTGTGTTCATGATCCGGATCATTGATCAGCCAATCAGGTTTTAATTGAAGATTTAAGGCTTTCACGGCTCGGAGCATTGTTATTATTGCTGAGGCTTTCGGGTGTAAGCCGTGTCCTTATAGAAAGAATATCTAAATACTTATTCCGACGTTTCGTAAGCATTGCAGCTCACTTCATAAGGGTTCGTGAGACACACTCAGTCTTGAAAAGTAATAAGGTTTTAAATGGTCAGCTGATCAATTAAAAAATGGGAGGAGGGTGCTCCAGATGGGGTTAAGGTGGTACCCTATGTCTCGATTAATATTATTAGGGTTTTTCATTATTTCTATTGTTTATTTTCGAGCGAACTATCCTTTACTATCCGAACTATTCTTTTCCCATCGTAGTCAATACCGTCTTATTTATTTTATAACTTCTCCACCACCCATCTGATGGCGGCTCAAAATTCATCCTTCTTTTCGTAAATCACGATAATAGTTCCATCTCTTAGGTCCGTCTGTTGGGCTCCCATAATGTTCGTGAAACCATTTAGCAAATAAATTAATATTTATTTACCAGCAAATTTTAATGTGACAATAAGAAAATGTTCAATGGAATCTATGCGAGAATCATCAAGTTTGCATCGAATGTTTCAGTTCTTAGTATACCCATTAGTTCGAATATTCAATAAATATCACGAAAAGTTCAAGTTCAAACCGTAATATTCGAAGCTCAGTAATAATAGTCACGTGTATCTTAAATGTCCTTCCGTATGTAACGAGTATCTTAATACGTTCACTGCGGTACGAGGCATATAAACCTCGTATCATCTTGTGCGACTCGTATTTCATTGAATATTTCCATCATTTTTCCACTATTTTTGCCGTATTAGACACCAATCGACCCTTTGTAGAATAAAATAACGAAATACAGCAAAAAAACGTACGAGGCTTATTTGTCTCGCATCGTCAAATAAAAAAGTCCTCAGAAAAACCTGCCGCAGTGAACGTGTTAATAATCACTTAGAATCTCGAATGTCCTGAGTATGTCAAAAATCACTTAGAATTCGCTTAATTCCAACTGTCCCGGTCGAAAGGTGTGTCTTAAGGAATACGGAAGAAAGATGGGAAAATGATCCTGTCCAATGGAGAATGGGTAGGAAAGAGTAGAAAAGTTCGAGGACGTCTTACTTAGTTCTGTCATTCACGCTCTGTCATGTCGTCAGTACGTCCCTATGCTCGTTGAGGGAATGGAGGATGTTAAAAAAGTGCCAAATTTATAGCAGTTCAGGCACCTAAAATTTTAACGAGGCATCATTCTATCTAAGGCATCATAAACGCACAATTATTTATCTGAAATGTAATGGGAAAGTTATAAAAAATGTAGATGAAGTAGACTTCGAAATTCGAATTGAAACTTTCTGACTTCAAATGATCGTAACTTCGAAATGAATGCGCGAAATGAAAAAATTCAAACGCTATTCTATAGAGGAAAGTCAATATTTATATAGTGTGTAACAACATATTGCTCAAATTGCTAATTAATAACAATAAAACGCGACAAATTAAGATAAGGTGCTACCGTGTAAATATTCCGTATATGTTCGTTATTCTACTGTAACTTACTTCTAAAACAAGATGAAATGCATCGAATATGAAGAATTGTTATTATATTTCATCGTTTTCTTCAAATGACATTTCTTCGGTAAAATATAGGTTGAGGAAGTTAGCAGGTGAATGTGTGGACGTCTGATGTCGAGCAAACCCCAAGTACCATAATACTGCTGCAACGTGTGAACAACACCCCACTACACGTTGGCTTATTTTGCCGGAAAAGAGTAGTTTTTCATACTTATGGACTAAAGGAAGAAAGATAATGAGTTTATTCAAGGAGTTATTTAAACATTTGTCAGGCCGTGTTTTTAAAATGTTGTACGGCGTGCTGCATAGGGGTTGTTCAGTTCATCTGAGACCAAAAAATTAAAGAAGGTTCTGTTCTTTAGGAAATTGCGCAAAGAGCAAACTTTAATTTATGAAAATCACTGCAAAATTGACGAAATGGCGATAGTTTGACCAAAAAGTGTCGATTTTCGCCGTACTTTTTTAGTTCATTGTGCAATAAAACATATTAACTTAAACAATTTCATTATTTTTGGTGGTTTGCCCTCTGAAGGAGATATTTATGTAAATGTTTTCAAAGGTAGAAAGAAATCGGTTAAACATTTTTCGAGTTATGCTGCACACAAGTTTGGAAAAAGTGGTTCCGAGGAAAACGCGTTTAAAGTTTCTCCGGTATACATATTAGGTGCAGAAATGAATTCTTTCCGACTTTTGGGTACAATCTAAGTTCTATTTAAAAAGAATGAAAACAGATCAAGAATCGAAATAATTTTCACTATTGTTGAATGTCCTTTTGCCATTTTTCTGGCAGCTTGCAAATACCATCGCGATAGGAACACGGTGGCTTTGAATCAATTACGTGAATCCAGTCGGAAAGAATTCATTCCTACACCTAATACATGCGTGACACGCTATGCTCCAACGGGTTATAACTCTGTTAATTCATCGAATT